GTGAGAGGCCCGCATACCACAAAAAAAAAAAAAAAAAAAAAAAGTTAAACCTAGCATTACCATAAGATCCAGCAATCCAACTCCTAGTCATATACCAAAAAGAATTAAAATTAACTGTTCAAAAACTTCTACAGAAATGTTCATGGCATCACTAATCACAATAGCCAAAAGTAGAAACAACAGAAATGTTCATAAACTAATGATTGAATAAACAAAATGTGGTTTATCCATATAATGGATATATACAAAAGGTCACATATTCTATGATTCCATTTATTTATTATTTATTTATTTATTTATTTTGCGGTACACGGGCCTCTCACTGTTGTGGCCTCTCCCGTGCGGAGCACAGGCTCCGGAGGCGCAGGCTCAACGGTCATGGCTCACGGGCCCAGCCGCTCTGCAGTATGTGGGATCTTCCCGGACCGGGGCACGAACCCATATCCCCTGCATCGGCAGGCAGATTCTCAACCACTGCGCCACCAGGGAAGCCTATGATCCCATTCAAATGAAATACCCAGAACAGACAAATCCACAGAGACAGAAAGCAGATTAGTAGTTTCCAGGGATTGGGGTGAGGGGGAAATCTGCAGTGACTCCTTATCAGGTACAGGATTCCGTTTTGGATTGATGAAAATGTTTCGGAACTAGATAGAGGTTGCACAACACTGTAAATACACTAAATGGCACACTTTAACATGGTTATTTCTACATTATATGAATTTTACCTTTAAAAAAACCCTGACTTTAGAATATGCCCAACCCAAAAGAAAAACTATTTTCAACACACAAAAAACACAGATACATGCACACACAAACTAAATAATAATCTATAGATTTTTTACAATAAGATATACACAAATTATTTTATGTGCTTATTGATCTTCCCTTTATTGACTGCCAGATCATTACTGACTTTCAGATACTTTGTATTTTTTTAAGGTAACTAACCGAAGGTTTAAACTATAGTAGAAGACAATCAGATTACAGATTCATTATTATGTAAGCTCACGTTTTATTTTTATGGTCCACTGAAGTCAAAGAGAGAGAAAAGGTAGGAGATGAAAAGTGGAGGACAAAACAAGGAACAAGGATATAGTGGAAAATAGTGACATTTAAAGTAAAGTAGAGAGTTTCAAGGAAGGCAGAAGAAAGGAAAAGACAGACCAAAAGGTGTAACATGGTGAACGCTGACTTTACATGGCTTGTTCTTGTCATATTTAGCATTCTATTGGGCAGTGAATATCAAAGAAAATGTCATCTATTTTTAAATCTCTCTGAAATTGAAATTCATAATCTTTAGCCTTGTTATTACTTTTAATAGACTTTATTATTTAGAGATGTTTAGGTTTACAGAAAAACTATGCAGAAAGTTCTGACAGTTCTCATATACCACCCCCAACACATGATTTCTCTTATTAATAGCTTCCATTAGTGTATGATATGCACTGAACTGTGTTCCCTCAATAGTCATATGATGAAGCATTAACTACCAATGTGATGACTTTTGGACATGGGTCCTTTGGGAGACAGGTTTAGATGAGGCCATGAGAATGGGCTCACAGTGGGTGGGATTAGTGTGCTTATAAGAAGAAACAAGAGACTGCTTTCTCTTTCTTTGCCCTGTGAAGAACCAGTGAGAAGGAGGCCATCTGCAATCCCAGAAGAGTCCCCAGTAGAACCCAATCATGCTGGAACCCTAACCTCCAACTTCTAGCCTTCAGGACTGTGAGAAAATAAATTTGTGTTGTTCAAGCCACTTGTTATGTTATTTTATTATGGCTGGGAAGGGGAACAGAATATGGCACCCCAAAATATGCTCCTTTGGCATAAGGATTTTCTTGAGCTGGTTATTTTTAACAAACAGCAGACACTGGAGAAGCCCTGAAAACCTAATAGAAGTTATACTTTTATAAGGGATATTTACATTTCTAAGGGAAATATCCATTTGTAAAGGTATCTCCCTCTCTGTACCAGGAAGAGGAAGACTAAAACTTACTATAGAAAGCTTATTCTTAAATCTGCATAACAACTATACCCTTGTTTATTTTGCTTTGCCTGGTAAATTCCCATAAGTGGTCTCCACCTCACCTCTACCCCAATCTTCTTTGGTCTTTAGCTGGGGATGGTATATAAAAGGTGATAGCTTGGGCCATTTTGGAGAGTCACTCATTTTTCTCCCGGGTATCTCCCATGTATGTAGGACGTATATACATGTTTGTTTTTCTCCTGTCATTCTGTCTTGGTCTCAGCCAAGAACCTAGAAGGGTGGAGGGAAAATAATTTATTCTCCCCTATAGTTGCTGGAGCAGACTAAGACAGTATGGAAACATTTATTACAAATTATGAACCAATACTGATACATTATTATTAAAGGCCATAGTTTCATTAAGTTTCAAGATTTGTGTTGTATAGTTCTACAGGTTTTAACAGATACATAATGTCATGTATCCATCATGACAGTATCATACAGAATAGCT